CCTGAATGAACAGCAAATACATGATATTTCGAGAGTATTCAGTATGATTCAGTGGCATAATGTATGGAAGTAGGAACGTAACATGGCCTTGCTATAACATTGGTTTGATATGCACCAGAATCGGTCTCTCAATCCAGCTTTTTAGAAATGATTTCAATTGCAGTTGTATAATTTGTTATAACTTGGGATTAAGGATCTATAATACATATTTAGGAATCTAGAATATAAAGAAAGAGATATTTTTACCTACGTCTTCCATGCCGATTCTTTGCACGGGCAAACAATCTGAGAAAGTGCATTTGTCGTTTATCTCATCATTTATATATGTATATATATAAGATCTATAAACGACGTAATGATAGTCGTCACTAAACATTGTATTCCATGAGCAGCAAATTGACCAATAATTTTATGCAATTTCAATTCCTTCATATCTAACCTGTACCTGTGTCTCCGTCCATCCCCTGGGAAAATCCTTCTTGGACTTTGTGGGAAATCGTATGCAAAATAGTTTTATGTCTTAATACCTGTGTCGTTGTTACCTTGTGATGTTATGGTGCTGTACTATTAATAGTATGTAGAAGTACTCTACTCGCACTTGTCCTACGGTACTAGAAATTCCAGTTTTCAGAGGTAGATTTGTTGATAAAAATTTCAACGTTTCTGGGAAAAAGATAGAATAAAAGTCAACGTCGACAGTAATGGAATTGGTGAAAAAGGAAGATTCTTCCAAGTATTTTTTACTGAATAAATTTTAACTTTAGATTATATATATATATTTACAATATGAGGATCTGTCACGTTTTTTCCTTGCAAAGTTTTTATCAAATTTTATTGCAACTATAAGGCTCTGAAATTAGTACTCGAACTGGGGAGTTGAATGATGTTTATTTCACGTATTAGAATTTAATGTAATTACTCGATCAAATAACATAAAACAATCCTTTTGAATTCAGTTTGTTATATCAAGAACGCTGTAATTCAATTCAAGTTGTATTGGAATTTTTTTCTAGTTATTGAGTACAACAAATATAGGCTTTGGTAAAGTTCATGTTGTTTTTACTTGAAGAGCTGGGTGATAAAAAGTCTAGACCTAATTTATGTTGAATTATTTTGGTGAGAGTATTGCCCAGTGCTTGGAATTTTGTCTTCAAAGTTGCCAAAAAGCATAAGACAAGTCATTTTTAACATTGTCTTCAAAGTTGCTAAAAAACATAAGACAAAGCATTTTTACCACATTGCAATAAAGCTCCTAAAGGACACTCATGAACATATATAAATAAACGAAATTACATCAATTTTAATTCTTTCAGCATATCATAGATATGATAAATTTACCCTTAGGCTTAATTCTAGATAAGATTTATATAAATATACTAGCTGACCCCGCAGACGTTGTTCTGTACCCATGTCTCTAGTGTACATTTCTAAAAACAACCCTATAAGTCTTCTCTACTTTCAATTGATATGTATGATATACGGCGTTAGTTTTTTTTTAGATGTCTGGATAAAGTTCGAAAATGGTCTACAGAATTACATAGAATTTTAAATGTATTGCTAGCTAAACTTCTCAGGAAATATTGATCGTGTGGAATTATTTTATTTAATTGATTTGACATATCTTTAATATCGTCAACTCCGTAAATAAATATTGGAGGGGGCTGACTAACGGGCTATAATTTAAAAGTTTCAATTTTTAATCACCTATAATTCTATCGATATCCGACGTTATTTTGAAAAAAATAAAATTACACCACTGAGAAGGAATGTCATCCCCCCGGGAAGTGGCAAAGAAGTCTAAATTATTTTCACTTTTGAACTTGAGAGCAAAATGAACCTAATTCCGAAATTTCATGCAAATTGGAGCACAGTAAAAAAATTCAGTTCCAAAACGCTTCATTGACTTAGTAAATATTCCGTATCCAATGCCAAACATATGAATTTTTGATACAATGAAACTTCTAAATAATTTTTTGAATAAGTAAATTTTTTTTTGTATTGTGGTTTAGTTAAGTAAGGCAAAACACGACCGTATTAGTTAAAAAAAATAATCTGCCAAACTGAATTATATTACTGTATCTTATATTATTTTAGTTTATGGCACATCTGAGCTGCTTTTTCGCAATAACAATATAGACATTACATTTTTCTTAATCATAATCATGAATTTATTATACACATTCTAACATTGTCTAGACTCATAAGTGAATTGAAATTTTCGGCAGGTGACAGTTCTCATTTGTTTTTAATGTCAAACAATGCCTCAAATATTTTCAATGTCAATCAATGATAAGCGTTTTTTTGTAATTTTTTCCATTTATTTCTACAATCTAACTATACTTCTATAATTCAAAAAATCCTAAAAAATCCCTTAACAAACTTCTGAAAGATTTATCAAAATCCGAATAATCGTTTTAGGAGGAGTATCTTTACATACATTATTAAAGAAGAATTTTATATATGAGGTAATGTAGAAAAGATAAACCTGATTAGTTTGTCTAAATGAAATGAGAACAAAATATACGCGTATAAAATATATTTTCAACAAAATTACAACAATGTTGAAAAAAATATATTATAAGAAACAAATAAAGATTTATTTCATTCAAAAAAGATACTTTACTACACTCCTCCTAAACTATTATTCGGATTTTGATAAATCTTTCTGATGTTTGTTAAGGGAATTATAGAAATGTAGTTATAATATATAAAATTGATTCTTGAAAGTTTAAAGTACGTGTACTATATCTATAGAAACTTTATTTGAAAACAAACGCTGAATTTGAAGCACACTAGCACCATCTGTGATATGCTGAAAGCACTCATACAGAGTAAAGGGCATTTGTTCTATGTTTATCCCCCATGCTCACGAACTAATAAACTCAATGAACTAGTAAAAGAAAAAAATTAAAGGGCAGTGAAAGTCTAAGTCCATAACCTCCAAAAGTGAACTATAACCAAGGCATTGTCGACATGTACTCCCACATCATATACTTTTGTCTTCTATCATCCAAGAATTCAGCGTTCGCCTCATAAACATCGATAAACTCCTAATGACACGTTGCTGTTACAAGTTACAACTAATGTTATTATTTTATTGCTTCCTCGACGTTTTCTTCTGTTTTGTCGTCGATCGTGTCTTATTGTTGCTGTCGGAATTATCATCATCATCTTGTGATCGACTGTGGAACTTCGCAGTTACACATCGAGAAGAAATCACATGGCCGTAGTAGTAATAGAATATCAAAGATACTGTTAAGAAATTGTAGGCATTAACCAAAATAATTTAGACTAGAGATGGGTATCTCACTCCGGAGTTATCACTCCGATACAACTCCTCCCTCGGAGTGAATCCGAGTGGAGTTGTCTTACAGGATTTTTCATATCCGACTTTCCTAAACTGGTACTAAATCTGTTAACATGTGCAGATATTTGCTTGAGATTTTTTACTAATACCAAAGATTCGAGTCGAAAGAAGTGTTTTTTTTCCTCGTCTTACAGGCAGTTTTAGGACTTTTTGGGTATATAATGTCTCAAAATAATGCTATTTTGTATTCTATTTTCTGTATACGATAATGTTTGTCCGTAAATGAGCTCTTTCAATGGTATACAACCAACTAAAAAATCTGTAGTATTACATTATAACTTTTACACAATTATGATTTTATAATTGTGTAAAAGTAATAGTATGCTAATCAAACTATCTAATGTATAATTAATTCTCGTAAGGGAAATAATAAAAGAATGTGAGGTATTATGAATTTGTGAAAAATATTGTACACAAAGATTTGTTCTTATTTCATATATAAGGTTCACAGCATTATTTCCATATAAAAATAAACATATTCAAAGAATTCTATATTTTCTCTTCAAAACTAATTACAAAACTGATTTTGATTTCCAAGTTTTTTGTCAATTTGGGATTTGTATACATATTGAAATGCACAAAATAGTAATTAATATAATAAAACTAGCAAACCCGACGAACTCCGTTTTGCCACCAGATGGTTTCGTGAGAAAGATGAAGAATTTTTTTGTTTGTTTTATATTTGAAAAGGAAAAATTTGATTTCATTACACAACAGCAATGAATTTATTTCGATTACAAAAATGAAGTGTTTTTTAGCTGAACTTCTTTGAGTAAATGAAAGTGAATCCGCAAATTATCCGTTTCATTGAAGTGCTCTTTGGTAAACCACATTTTTTGTTTTCTGGTCTGACGTTAACACAAACAAAGCATATGGTTTTCCAACTCGTGAACAGGCAACGTATAACTGCCCATGTAAAAAACAATGATTTTCTAAATAATCTTTTTGAAATTTATCCCGCAAACACTAAGCGTTTGGCCTTGAGACTTGTTATTGCGAACACATGGCAAACTGGAAATTGCAATCGTTTGAAGTCAAACGGAAGACCAGTCGGAATCATTGGTATGTCACCAAATCGCCAGCAATTTTTGATTGAATGGTGAAATTCAGTGCGTGTACAGCATTATTCTTTGCGGCAAGAATTGCTCGTTGACTTAACCAAGCATAATTATGATAATTCTCACTAATCTCATTACTCGAATTTTTAATTACGGTGCACAACTAATTTTCTTAGCTATAAACCTTGCGGAGCCCGACCCCTTTCCAACGAATGCAAAATTGTCGAAATCGGTTTGTGCGTTCTGGAGTTATATCGTCAGGAAGGAAAAATCGACTTATTTTTATATATATGTAGGTAGATGAACAAAAATGTTTGAACTATTTGTAAACTATTTCCAAAGTCTTAATAAATCCTCATAGATATGTTAACAGCACACCAGAAAACACATTTGTGTCAATTATTATGTTTCAAAGTTTTCAATTATTATGTTTCAAACTTCTCGGAGTTGTGAAGTTGTTAAGTCGATATAACTCCTCTCTGAAGCGGAGTAAAATCCTAACCGATCCGCCTTCGGATATGATAAGCCCATCTCTAATTTAGACTAACAAATTACTAATATGGTCTTTTTTTCAGGTGCATCTGCGATCCAGGTTACACAGGCCAGGACTGCGAGAGCGAGTACATTCCTTGCTCGCCTTCGCCTTGTCAGAATGGGGGCACCTGCAGACAAGTGGATTCCCTAACTTACCAGTGTCACTGTCCAAAAGGTGAGATAGTATAAAATATTATTATAATAAATATTATATTAGCAAACAATTACTGCCAGCCATTGGCAAGTTGTTAAGCATTCGATTTGTAAAATCAGGGGTATACAGTTCGAATCCTGGTCTAGTACTACATATAAAAATTAATTGATATTGACTGGGACAAAATGAGCGATTAGATAGAAGAAAAATTAAGTGAGTTGTAGTTGGCCAAATGTACCTACTAGTTTACAAAGCTAACAATAAAGAAACAAAAATTTACAGGGCGTCTACTAATCACGTGATAGATTTTTTAAGGATTTTTGGACACTCTCTTCCTTTTGGTGATATGTGGTGATACTCAATTTTTTTTTAATTACAATATTTATTACAACTGTTAAATAATTTAACATCTAGCAATAATGATAAATAATAACATAAATTTAAATAAATAAGAGTGCAAAGGATAGAATTTACATTAAAATGATATCCGTAGTATGATGATTTAATAAAAAATAAAATCAAATAATAATAATAATAAAATATTCAAAATTATTCCCACCCTCCTCCACCAAACATTACGTATATTTTTAGTTACGAGAAAAATTTTTTTTTTGAAAATGTTTAAAAGAGTGTACGTAAGTTTCACACGTGATTGAAGTAAAACTTATTTGCTACTGTGCAAAGTAGCAATTTTAAGTTAAGTAAAAATAAATACATCATATAACAATTTTGAATAATGTTTATTAGTAATATGCTAATACTCGTGATGCACACATTTATTAGTGTCAACCATTATTCATATTTATATAATGATGAATTATAAATTATATATTTATAATAGCATTAAAAATGTATAATGTGTGAAAATAATAATGTAATTTAAGTCATGGTTCTAATATGACATGATCGGTTTGTCATTGTAATTAGCATTTAGGACTCGAACCTTTATTAGAGAAATGAAGTAATTGCTTATTAATAAATTCTATAATATTCGTTCACACAGTGGATTATGTTAAACAACGCCTAAACAAATATTGTTTTCACAATTTCACACATCATGTAATAATTGTGTTTGAAGAACTTTATGTAATTCAAATTAACATACATTCATTGACTGCTTGTATTTTTTTTACTTTTTCGCTGGCGATATGATCTCATTCTTTGAACAGATGTAATATCTGTCTTGCCTAAAAAATATTTTCTATTTTAATAACTTCAAAGATTTATAGAAACTACGAATAATATAGAAATAATTTCTAGTCAATAAACTTACGTTTAGTACACGGCACAAATGTTGCATTTGATTTATTATTTTCAAGGAACAGGGTAAAATATTCTTCTGATTCAGGCATTTTTCATTAAATCAAGACTTGTACTACGATGTAACTTTAAAATGTTTATTTATCTACGCCTTTTTTCTTGTCGATATCGGTACGCATACAACGACAGATCTCTGTTCACATACACGACGACTGATCACAATCGACCCGTATTGAAATAATTTCATCGAGAGCGAAGGACGAACAGTTCGGGCGCTATTTCCGTTGCATTTGTACATATTTACACCCTAGTCGCGCCTAAAAAAGTTTTACTTCAAAATAAATACACGTGATATCTTACTATACCCCTCCTTCCCCCACGTGATATTTTGTGATTTTTTGTCAAACCCCCCTTCTCCCAAAAAACCTGACGTGATCAATGATCCCCTTATAGTAAAGATGATAACAAACCACTATCCAATTATTTTTGACAATTACCATTTCTTTCTTTCGGGGGCGTCTCGTGCGACCGAGAGTGAAAAATTATCGGTGAGGGAGCCCCCTTCTTGTCGTTGTTCTTCTGACAGAGTACCCACTATGTTGCTTGCTGACTAGAGTAGAGATCGTTTTGCATTTTGTAAAAGAGTAAAAGAGTTCGCTTTTGCTCGCGGCCACCACGCCCGGCACGAAGAGCCGGAGGCCCCGAGGCGATTTCTTACAATCGCCCGAGAGGCAGTGGCGTCCTGTAATAATGGACAAATGGAGTAAAAGACATTTACTGTCGTAGTTTGCTTACTTATACACGACTACTGTTACTAAGGAAGAATCTTTTAAAAAATGTTAATTTACGAAATGTAAGAGAATTTTGTTAAGAAATGCAACAGAACAAAAGTGTGTTACTGTTTGAAATTATCCTGGCGCCGGTGTTGCCCGATTATGTAATATAAAATTTTTAGGATTGCCTGATGTAGAAACATTATTCACTCAGACTCATATATTGACCCAAAGGCATTTAGTACGTCTCATTTGCGAAAATAGATATAAAATTATTGAACAAAAATAGTTTAGACTTGTATGGTATTACATCTTATTCTTTTTATTATGAATGTTTGTATTAGCACATATTTCTTATAATTTATGTCATAAATTCTGACATTATCTACAATCCACGTTATATTTGTTTTACTTATACACAACCACTATCTTAACTAGTTGTGCTTTATGGCAAATTGCTGGAACTTCCCGTACCCCTTAAATTGAAATGTTTAAAACTCAGAAATGGAAAAATTATATTTACTTTGAGATTTTTTTTTAGTTTTTTTGTAAATTTTAAAATTATTTGAAAAATGTGAAAATTGAAAAAATTGATCTTGAAAATACTGATTTATATCGAAAACTTGAAATTTTTGTTGAAATTTTTTTCTGAAAATTTTGAAATTTGTTAAAAGTCTTTGATACCCAGTCAGGTCGGTTGTTTTACATTGTCGAAAATGTCTAATGGCATATTTTTAAACTTTTTTCTTATGGATCTCCGAAACCGCTGGATTTGCCACGATTTGATCAACTATTTATTACGTCAATATGAGTGGAAAGTTTTGTGAATCATTCAAATCGGATGCTCTGTTCTCTCAAAAACTCAAGTTCTATTTTATGCACTCTTTGCTCCGTATCTCCGAAACGGCTGGACTTGTCTTTGACAAAAACTAATCAGCACATCTCCCCATCAATAGGAATCGAATGCTTATTGAATAATTCAAATCGGTTGATCCGTGTTCCTGAAAACGCGGACGATTACTTACAACATGTAAGAAAACAAGAGTGGTCCATGTCTGGAATTTTCATGACAGCAGTGTTGCCCGATTGGGTAAACAGAATTATTAGTATTGCCCGGTGCTGCAACAGTATCAATAAGTAATTATTTATAAATAAGTACCTTCTCAAGTTTTACCACATCTTGGTCATTATTATATACAAATGTTTCAATAGTTATCATTCTTATTTTGTAATACGACACTAAATTATATAATTATCAAGTTTATTATAATATTAATCATCATAGAAACATAACTTAAATAAATTTAAAAAACTAAAGATAGTCCGCAAGCCTTGATATTTTCCAGCAAAGGAAACAAATATGAAAAATACAATATTAATTATATAAATCAAAATATCTTGCTACAGTAGAATTCAGAGTAAGTTAGATAATTTAAAGTACAAGTGTTGTGCCATCAGGCAACCCTAAGTTTAGGGTTTGATTGTGCATCATTGGAAGTAATTTCCTTAACAAATGAGAACTATAGCAGTTTTTATATTCTGGTTTTTACATAAAAGTAAATAATAGCGATGAAAATTCCAAACAACCTGTATATTATAAAACTTTGTCTATTGCAAAATATCAAACAAAGGCTTTAGAACATTTTAGAGTTGTCTCCCCTAAAGTCAGCGAGTAAGAGAGACTTTGTCTTCGTAAAATCTTGTGATTGAAACGGCATTTAGTCCTTGTCAAATTACTAGTGCTTGAAGTGAATTTTGGTCTTTATATAGTTGCCAGATGTATGTCATACATATTGTTGTGCTATCAGCGTGAAAACACATAAATTATTATAGATTCATAAGATTAATACATGAAGCATGTTAATCAAACTCTAACAACTATATACCAAGTCACTTTAAGTTTATTTAATAAAATATCTGATACTAAAACGAATATTATGTAATTTTTTGTAATATGTTTTCTTGAGCGTCCGTGGTAGAAGAGAGCCATCCTTATCCTCCTCAAACGGATTTCGCTTAGAAAGGGCTTCGGAAGTCTTTGGAAGGCTCTGGCTTACTTGCCTGTGCCTAGACCCATAGACACGTTCTTGATAAGAGTTGCGAATAGATTTTCAAAATTGGCGCAACAGCATCTTTAGTGAAATTTATTTTTATCTAATTATTTTATTACCTACGCCACTGTATTTCTATAAAGTCGCAGAAATGATTTCGTGTTCCGAGCGATCCGTGGTCTCGATTCCTCCGATCGACGTGTGTTGTGTGTTGTGTGTATCGAGTCTCGAGCGCGGCCGGTGGGAACGTTACTTCACACGCGGCAACACCAACACCAAAACCAGCAATCGATACACACGTGAATATTGCAAATTTATACCAACATTTATAGAAATATACAAATGTGAGCAAATATTTATTTACAAGCTCTCGGAATAGGAAATCGGATTTAGGCCGATCTCGAATTGTACACATTGAGAGATATGGATAGATAGATAAGTAGAGTCCAGGGAGGGCTCGAGGATATATAACACATTGGAACTAATTCTTATACATTTTGGAAATATAGTTACTACTAGGGAATGCAATACCGGTATACCGGTATGCCGAATTACCGGTGAACCACCCGATTTTTCGGCGGTATTTTTGCCGGTAGTTATTCCAAAAATACCGGTATTTTCGGTATTTTTACATAAGCGCTATTTGATACATAATACCCCAAAAGTTTAAATTTCTCGGAACAAATTTATCTTTAAATTCCATAATCGCATAAACAGCTATATCTTCAAGTGATTCTATAAGATAAACAAATATTATTTCAACTCGTCATTAAACTGAATATTTATTGCTTTCCAAAGGGCTTCATATCGTGTTACAATAAATAGAATTGTACTGATAGATAATGATGTTTGTTTTTTCTTTTGTAAAAATGTAACGGTTTTTTAAGTGATATTTGCCCCAAAATGTTTTGTATCATACAGATTACCCCTGCATAAT